CCCCCCCCCCCCCCCCCCCGAGCAGGGAGCGGAAGGTCCAAGACGGGCGCCGTCACCTTCCCCCCGCAAGAAGAACCTCCAGTACTTTCGAGATCTCGGCCAAGAGCAACTACAACTTCGAGCGCCCGTTCCTGTGGCTCGCGCGCAAGCTCGTCGGCAACGCCCACCTCGAGTTCGTCGCCGCCCCGGCGCTCGCGCCCCCCGAGGTCCAGGTCGACGCGAACCTCATGAGCCGTTACGAGGCGGAGCTCACGGCAGCGGCGGCCGCCCCGCTCCCGGACGAGGAGGACAACGACTTGTAGACGCAGCCTGTCGCGTCTTCCGTGTGTTGCATGAAGTTTGTTTCGCTTTGCCCTGGGCGCGTTTGAAAGTCCGAGAGCGCTCGAGAGAACCTCGCTTTGCGCACCCTCTCTCGCTCGTCGCCGCTCTCTCTCGTGCTCGATGACCTCGTGCTCGACACGCTCGCGCTTTCGACGCCGTACTAAGGACACCGACGCTTCGTCGAGCGAGCGTGGCAGAAGAACGGCTCCTCCTTCCTCTCGTCACGAGTTGGGTCACCGGTCGTTCTTTCCGCGCCTTGGTCGCCGTGTCGGTTGGTTAGGTGCGAGTGTCTACTCTGCCGCGCTTCGGCCTTCTGCGCGACAGGCGGGCGTCGCGGTGGACGAGCGAGAACGAGAGAACGCCGCGCTCGAGCCTCGGCGGCGGTCCAAGCGGACCTGGGACGGCAGCTTGAGGAGGACCGTACGCCGGAACGCGACGGTGGAGGTGCATACGGTGCGGCCGAGCGTGCCGCCCGACCGACGAATGGCACAGGTCCGCTCGACTGTGCGTCGAGGAGGAGCTTCAGGAGGAGAAACTCGGTTTGTTGGGCTCAGACCTCGCTCTTGTTCGACGGAGCAGTGCGGGATCGACCTATGAAGACGAGTACTCGACGATGGGCCCGAATTTGCAGACCGTTCCAGGTAGTGTCCGCTCGACTCGTCTCCCTCGCGACGGGACCTTCTCAAGTCGCTTGTCCTCCTTGCGCACAGCTCTCTCGCTCCCGTCAACTCTCGCCGAGACGCGGATGCTCTCCCACGACCCTGTCCGAGCACGAGAGGGCAGGACAGGTCCCGGCAGGCAAGCGAACGAGCAAGCCTCGCCAACAACAGGACGCTTCCTGCTCTCGCTCTCCCGCCCCGGGCAATCACAAGGCTCAAAGGACGAAAATTACGTAGTAGTGCACAACACGACAAAGCGACCGACCACCTCGACGTCTCGCTCGCTCGACCCTCAGTTGGCGAGCACAGCCCGGGCGCCGTTCTTGCGCTTGCGGACGAGCTCGCGCTTCTTGTCGAGGATGCCCTGGAATGTCAGGTCGCTCGGGACGTACGGCGACACGTTGATGACGAGGACCTTCATCTTGGGGTGATAGACGAGGTCGGGCAGGAGCTTGGGCGTGAGGAGGAAGTACCTGGGGAGGGGGCGACAAAGTTAGTGCTCGTTCTCAAGGACAGACAAGGAAAGAGACCAAGAGAGAGAGGGACGCACTGCCCGACGTCGTGGCTGCAGGTCGTCTCAACGAGCATCTTGTGCATGTTGCGCTCAGCACGCTGGTCCATGCCCTGGTTGATCTCGTCGACGAGGGCGAACGGCGCGCGCGCGAGCTCGGCAAGGGCGAGCAGGTACGTGACGGTCGTCAGGGCGCGCTCCTGCATGCGAGGAACAAGGCTCCAGTCAGTAAGAGGTAGGGCGAAGGGAAGAAGAAGTCGAAGGAGGGGAAGAAGTGACTTACGCCTCCCGACTGGCGCTGACCGCTCAAGACATGCAGCGTCACGTCCTGCGAGTCGTCCTTGCGGTCCCGGAACGACACCATGATCTCGATGCCCCACTTCTCGTAGTCGTCCTCGGTCGCGAGGCGAACCTCGCCGAGCAGGCCGAGCGCTGCGGGCGCAAGAACGACGAGGGTCAGTGCTCGCTCTCAAGGACGACGACGACGACAAGGAGGAAGGAGAGGACGCACTGTCGAACGCGGTGGTAAACTTGGCCGAGATGTCGCTGATGAGGCGGTCGAGACGAGGGCGCCACAGGTTCTCGGTCGTCGTGATGATCTGCTGCGACTCGTCGAGGCGCTCCTGGGCCGAGTCGAGCTTGGCCTGCTGGTCGGCGATCTGCATGGCCGGGCGTGTGTCAGTCCTGGACGAGGGAGGAGAGGCAGAGGCGGAGGAGGAGGGGACGCACCTCGACCTTGCGCTTGTTGTAGGCCTCGAGGACGATCGGGCTGACGGCGCCCATGCAGCCGAGCTGAGCGTCGAGCTCGCCCAGCTCGTCGTTGAGCTCTTGGTGCGACGACAGGGCGTCTTCCGCCTGGCGGGCCTTGACGCGCACGCTGACCTCCTCGTCGGCGTCCTCGAGGGCGGCGTTGGCGCTCGCGTACAGCTTCTTGCCCTGGACGAGCGCGGCCTTGACCTTGACGGTGACTGCGCGAGAGAAGGCGAGGCGTCAGGATCGTGACTAAGAGTGGCTCGAGGAGGGAAGAAAGAGAAAAGGGGACGCACTCTGCTCCAGCTCGGCCTTCTTCTCCTCGAGCTCGACGTTCCGCTCGCGCACCTGCGCGTCGAGCGCACGAAAGTCGCTCTCGGCCTGGAGCGCCTGGAGCGCAACCTTGATGGCGCCCTCCTGCGAGTCGGCCGCCTGCGCCGTCGAGTCGGCGTACCCGAGCGCCGCCTTGACGCGCTTGTCGACGAGCTTGCGCAGCTCGTCGTTGAGCTGGGCGCGCTTGGCGGCCGCCGACGGCTTGGCGAGCTCGCGGTCGAGCTGCTTCTGCGCAGTGTCTGAGGCGAGGGGGAGAGAGCGAGGGTCAGGGGCCCGCTCAATCGAGAGGCTCGAGGCGAGGGAAAGCAGGGGACACACCGAGCTTCGACTTGTTCTTGACCCACGTCGCGTGCGCCTTGTGCATCTTCACGCGCTCCTGGTGCAGCTCTTCCTGCAGGACGTCAAGGGCATGGTTAATGCCCGAGTGCTCGAGGAGGAGAGAGAGAGAAGGGACGCACCCTCTCGGTCTCGATCTGCTTGACCTGCTCGACGAGCTCCTGCTCGACCTCCTTGCTGCGGTCAAAGTCGCCCTTGAGCGCCGCACGAGACGCCTTGGCCTCGCTGACCCTGTTCACGAAGTGGTCGATGCGCGCCTGGTCGACTGCGGCGCGAGGGAACCAAAGGGCGGTCGTCAGGTCGAGCTCGGTGCAGCCGGACGAGAGAGAGCGAGAGGGAGAGAAGGAGACGCACCGCCGTTGCCGAGGACCTTGGCCCTGCTGAGCGGACGCGCCTCGAGCTGGGCGAGACGCTGACCGTACATCGAGAACTTGATCGACGAGCTGCCGTCGGGCGTGTAGTACCGCTGGATGCGCCTCGTCGCCTCGATGCCGCGAGCATCGACAGGACGCCGACTGAGCTGCATCGGGATGCGGTGCAGCTGAAAGTTGTGCGCGAGGTAGCTCAGGACGGCCGGCGGGCCCTCGAGGAGGTCGATGGCGTAGCAGTCGAACCCGAACTTGGCGAGGTCGTCGGCCGACAGCGGGCGCTCCATCTCGTCGACGCTCGGGATGCCCGTCACCTCGGCGCCGTTGAACGAGATGCCCGACTTGGGCTGGCGGCGGTTGGGCTCGTCGGTGAGGATCTTCATCATGCGGTCGTAGTCCTCGCGGAACTCGAACAGGATGGTCTGCAGGGCGCGACGAGCGAGGGTCAGTAGTCTGGTCGCAGGGAGGGAGAGAGGGGGACGAGGTGGAAGAGAGGGACGCACGTTGATGGCGCTCAAAGGGATCGGGCCCTCGACGAGGTCGGCGTACCGCGCGTCGAGCTTGACGTTGCCGAACTGCTTCTTCATCGACATGCTGAGCCTCGCCGGCTCGTAGACGCGGCCGCGGAACTCGGCCTTGTTGGCCCGCAGCCACTGGACGGCCTTCCACGTGTCGGGGTCCCACTGCTTGAGGTTGCGCTCGCGCTGGGTCGCCACCTGCTGCTGCTTCTCGATCCTGCGCAGACGACGAGGTGCATAGTCAGTCGCTGTGCGTGTCGAGCGAGGCCGGCGACAGCAGTGTGGCTGAGAGAGGGGCTGGCAGGCCGGAACCCGACGAGAGGGATCGAGACGAGGGAAAAGGAAGACGGCTCACTCGGCCCCGTACGTGCGCTCGGCGAGCTTAAACTCGTCCGCCTGGCGCTCGATCTCGCTGCGCTCGTTCTGGCGCTCCTGGATCTGGCTCGCGATCTCGTTGCGGTTGCGGCTGAGAGCGTTCTGTGGAACGACGCGTTCGTCAGGACTCGCGTACCGTGTCGACGTTCGCCAACGAGGATGTCGAGAGTGACAGAGGAAAGTGGGACGCACGATCTGGCGGTCGAGGTCGGCCGTGTTGGCCTCGGCGGGCTCGTCGGCGACCAGGTCCGTGAGCTTGGCGATGGCGATCTCGAGCGTGTTGACGCGCTTGCGGCGCTCGTTCTCGGTGCGCTTGATGTCGGTGATCGCCTCCGAGACCGTGTTGCGGTCGTTGTCCTGCGCAAGGGTGGGAGGACGAGGAGGAAGAGGGAGGGGAAGAGAGCCGGCTCGAGGTCAGGGACGACGGTCTCGAGTGTAGGCCGAACGAGGGAAGACGAGGGACGCACGAGCTTGTCGAGCCTCGTCTTGAAGCTGTCGGCGTCCTTGAACAGGTTGTGGACCTTCTTGTCGACCTTGTCCTGCTCCTTGCGGCACGCCTTGACCAAGCCGTCGAGCGCCTCGACGCTCGCCCTGAACGGCCGGTTGACCTCCTCGAGCTGCGACACCTCGTTCTTGCACCGGTCTCGGTCGCCGCGCATCGTGTCGTACTCGTTGTAGACCTTGTTGTACTCGGCAAACTTGACGAGGACCTCGACGACGGCGCGGTCCTGCTCGAGGCGCTCGCGCTGCTCGAACGCGCGCACCTCCTTCTCGGCCTCGGCCTGCTTGGTCTGCTTGCGCGTGAGGACGTCGCTCAGGCGGGCGACCTCCTGCGAGGCGGCGGAAGGGAGAGAAAAGGACGTTCGGGTCAGTACCGGCGCACGAGCCTCGACCTTTAAGACGACGAAGGAAAGGGGAGAAGAGGACAGGCGACGCACGATCTGCGACTCCTTGAGGTGCTTGTACTCGGCGATGAGGACCTGGTGCCACTTGGTGAGGTTCTCGTTGCCGGCCGCGTGCTGCGTCTCGCGCAGGAGCTCGGGCGGCGTCATCATGGCGAACGAGGCGACCCGGTCTTGCGGCAGGAACGTGCTGTCGAGGGGAGAAGGACGTCGAGAGGGTCAGGACCGGGCTTGACGAGGGAGGAAGGGAGGAAGACGAGGGACAAAGAGCGGAAGCGACGACGCACCACAGGTTGCCGACCTGGACCTGGAGCTCCTCCATGTGCTCCATGACGGCCTTGGACGTCGCCTCGTTGCCGTCGAGCTCGAAGCGCGTCTTCTCCGAGTCGCGCGACAGGTACCGGCGCACGACGAGGTTGTTGTCGCCCGGCTTGCCCTTGAGCTCGAGCTCGATCCAGGTCGACTCGTTCGAGTCGTTCTTGCAGTAGGCCGACAGCTTGGTCGAGCGGCCGAGGACCTGGGCGGGCGAGCGAGGGCGTCAGGGATGAGGGCGCAAAGGAGGGACGGAGCTGGCGGCGCACCTTTGCGGGAAAGCCGAGGCCGATGGCGATGGCGCACGCGATGGTCGACTTGCCCGTGCCGTTGGGCCCGATGATCATGTTGAGGGCCGGACCAGGGCGAAACTCGACGCTGTCGTAGGTGAGGAACGAGTGGCACGCGATGCGGACGATGGAGCCCGTCACGTAGCTGCGCGACACGGGAGGGCAGGGTGAGCGAGGTCGGCGCGAGGCCGAGTGTGATTGGAGCAAGACGGACCCGTCGTCGTGGCGCACGAGGTGCTGGCGCTCGTCTTGGCCAAAGTCGTCGTCGGCGCCGTCGCGGCGTACGGGCTTGTGGTCGTCGTCGCTGGACTCGTCGTGGCCGCTCTGGTCCGAGTCGGGCATGCGGGCCTTGCCCTTGCCGTTGATGGGCTTGGGCTTGGTGGCCTGGTCGAGCTTTACGCGCTTGCGGGCGGGGAGGTGGTCGGCGGACGAGGGGGAGCCGGCGTCGTCGTCCGAGTGGGAGCGGGCGTGGCGGTTGGTGTTGCGGGCGGGTGCGCTGCCCGAGGGCATCGGGGTGTCGCCGTCCGAGTCGCTCATGGCCTCGGTCGGGGCGAGGGAGGCGAGCGAGGGGTCGAGGGAGATGAGGAGGCGCACGCGCGGCGACGCGGGACCAAAACCCGAGTCGACGGAACCCGGCCACAACCTCGACAGGGGCGACAGCAGAGGGGACAGACAGGCGTACGAACAGATAGTACAGCTGCGCGCACCCTCACAACACCCGCTGCGAGCTGAGAGCGACCGGCGCCTCCTCCTCCCCACCTCATCGCTCTTGCAACCCACGCTCCCTCGCTGCTGCCGTCCACCAACTGCGCAGCGAGCACGTGCAGCCAGCAGGATGGCGTCCTCTGCACCACACCCAGCCGTCCCGCCATCGTCTGCCCCACCGCAACCGCCAGCTCCCCCATCTCGGTCAACCCTCGCCGCCGCACCCATCTCGCTCGACACGTTCCAGCAGCCCGCGTTCGACGTCTCGCGCTTCGTCACCTCGCTCATGGACCCCGAGGTCAAGCGCCAGAAGACCATCGGCAGTGCGTCCCCCTCCTTCGTCCCCCTCCTCCCGCCCACCTCGACTCGCGGCGCCACGCTTCCTGTCGACAGCCAAGCGCACCGCAGCGCTTTACAGCACGCCTCCAGAGCCATGTAGAGACCGCACTGACTAGCCTCGCCTCGCACACAGCGTTCGACCCGGCACCCCACATCCGCACCCTCGAAGCCGCCCTCGCCCAGCTCCTCCCTTTGCGCAAGGCCAACGCCCAGAAGACGTCCGAGCTCGAGCGACAAGTCGCCGTCGCAGAGAGGACGTACCGAGGAGACGTGCGCGGCGCCAAGGCGGGTTTCGAGGTGCGTCTGCGACCTGGTCGTCTAGGCTCGAGGCCCTCGCTCGACGAGCATGCGCCTTGGCCTTTTCTCGACCAAACCGCACGCTCACCTCTACTCCTTGTACGCAGACGGTCAACTCGCAGTTCCAGGCGCTCGACGGCAAGATCACCTCGGTTGGCCGCACCGCCGTCCGCATCGGTGCGTCCCTCTCGTCCTCCTGTCCCTCCCTCGCCGCCCTCTTTCGGCGCGATGGCTGACTGCCCAGGCTACGCTGGACGCAGGCGAGCAACTCGAGTCGATCGACCGGCTTCGGCAGCGCGCGAGCGAGGCGCACGACCTCATCCTGTACTACAACGAGTTTGCGGCGGGCGACACGACCAGGTGCGTCGACGCTCAACCTCCTCCTGCACGAAGGATCTGTCGGTGCCACGGGGGCATAGACGGGCCTCGTGAGACTCTTGATCTGACCCGCCCCCGTCATCCTGAGCAGGCTCGAGAAGATGCGCAAGGAGGGCGGCCGAGAAGGGCGGCAAAAGGTCGCCATCGCGTCAAGGCGTCTCCTCAGCTTGTCCAAGGAGGTCGACGGCGTCGAGGGAGCCGAGACTGTGCGTCCTCGTCCTCGTCCTTCTCTCCCCCCTCGGTCGAACCCGACTGACCCTTCTCCTCCTCCTCACAGACGCGCGAGACGATCGAGCGGTACTGCGAGCGCTTCGAGAAGGACATGTTGCGCCTCTTCGACCGGTACTACCGCAAGGGCGACCCAAAGGCGATGGCGGTGCGTCCTCGTCCTCTCGCCCTTTCTCATCGTCGCGCACGGGCCCTGACCTTCCTCGTCTACCGCAGCACTGCGCGCAGACGCTGCAAGACTTTAACGGCGGCCAGTCGTGCATCCAGATCTACGTCAACCAGCACGACTTCTTCATCTCGAAAGAGCGCGTCCAGGAGGCGGCGGGCGGACTGGTCGGCGGCGCCATGTGCGTCCCTCCCTCTCGCCCTCCTCCCACTCGACGACGGCGCCTGACCTTTGCGACGACGTGCGCAGCTGGGAGTCGCTGCCAGATCCCGACGCGCCTGCGCCCAAGGACGAGCCGGGCCTCGCCAACCTGTACGAGGAGATCCGCATCACGGTCGGCCAGGAGGCCCAGATCGTCACGGCCGTCTTCCCGCACCCGGCCATCGTCATGCAGGTGTTCCTGCAGCGCGTCTTTGCCCAAGTCGTGCGTCGCGCACGGTCCTCTTGGTCGCCTTCTCAGCTCGCCGCGAGCGAGAGAAGCTGACCTGCAGGCTTGTCCCACCACGGCGCGCAGATCCAGGGCTACATCGAGACGCTCATCCAGACCGCGTCGTCATCCTCATCGCTCGCCTACCTCCGCATCCTGCACCTCGCCCGGGCCCAGACCGCCTCGCTCGTCGACGACCTCAAGGCGCACGAGTTCTTCCGCACGACCTCGGCGTCGGCGTCGGCATCAGCCCTGTCGGGTACCTCGTCGTTGCTTCCCTCGTCGACGGGCTCGGCGTCGGCGTCGCAGCTCGTGAGCCCGACGAGCGCGTCATTCCCGGGCGGCGGGGCAGGCGGCGGCGGCGGTGGGGCGGGCGGCGCAGCCGTGAGCCAGATGCTCGACGCGAGCATGGAGGAGCTCTTTGTGCCGTACATGGAGGGCGCGAGGTACCTCGACAAGGAGGGCAAGAGCCTCACCGAGCTGTACGCCGCCAAGCTCATCCGTTTCACCAACTGGCACGTGCGTCCCGGTCTCTCTTTCTCTCCCTCTTTCGTCCCCCCTCGGCCCAGCCTGGTCGACATGATACTCACCGATAGGGCCGTCTCGACACACAGCGCGCGACCAACAAGGCCAAGCCGAGCAACACGATCTTCGACCGCGTGGTCAACCAGCTCTCGTCGGCCGCCCACCAGGCCGCGCACCCTTCTTCCTCGTCGTCGACATCGGCCCAGCACCTTCAGCCCGCCGCCGAGCAAGCCGACAAGTCGCGCCTCGATCGCCTCATGAAGTTCTCGGGCCTGAGCAACATCGCCCACAACGCCTCGTCGGCGTCGGACAAGCAGGGCGCAGGAGGAGCAGGGCCCGGCGAGGTCGACCCGGCGATGCTGTTCGAGGACGGCGACGGCGAGCTGAGCGTCGAGGTGGCCGAGCGCATGCTCGAGTGGCATGCCGAGGCGCTCGGGAGGATGGTCGAGTTGAGTCCGGCGGGCGACGTGTACGTCCTCTCCCTCTCTCTCTCTTCCGCCACCCTGCGTCTGATCGACAGACACTGACTACGAGTACGACCTGCAGGCCCAAGAACGCCTTCACGCTGCTCAAGGTGCTCGCCGACAGCTTCGGCAAGGGCTACCTCGAGACGGCGCTCGACACGTGCGTCCCCTCTCTCTCTCCTTTCCCCGGCCCCGATCCACCTCGTACCGACACTCTGTACCCGCAGCGCCATCCACCAGCTCTCGCTCTACGACGGCAAGGCCGAGCCCGACCTGCGCCCGATCGGCGTCATCCGCCTCGCCGACATGATCATGCACCTGTGGCAGCGCTACATCTCGACGGCGCTCGTGCCACTCGCCGGGACGAGCGTCACTGTGCGGCGCGAGATGGGCGTCTTCAACAACCACGTGAGCGTGCGCATCGAGGGCAAGGTCAACGCCATCGTCCAGCGCACGACCGACGGGGCGTCGACCTCTCTCTCTCTCTACGTCTCTCTCGCAGACGGACCTCTGACTGACATCTCCTACGCGTCGCAGCCATCGTCTCGTACCTGTCGGTCCTCCTGTCGAAGCAGAAGAAGGGCGACTTTCGCCCCAAGAACGACGAGCTCGCCTTCTCTCGGCTCAACACCGAGCCGTGCGTGCTCGCGTGCGAGTTCCTCGAGCGCGTCAAGGAGGCGGCGAGCGAGGCGCTGAGCGGGAGGAACAAGGAGATCTTCTTGACCGAGGTCGGCGTGACTTTCCACACGTGCGTCCCTCTCTCACACTCTCTCTCGGCGAGGCGGCGCGGACAGGCCCTGACCGCGTTCCATGTCCACAGGCTTCTTCTCGAGCACCTCAAGAAGTTCCAGGTCAGCGCAACTGGCGGCCTCATGCTCACCAAGTGCGTCCCGCCTCCTTTCTCCTCTCTCGAGCCGTCTTTGACCCTCGCCTGTCGTCGCCTGCAGGGACCTCGCCCTGTACCAGGACACCATCTCGTCCTTCGCCCTCCCGGCCCTCAACGACCGGTTCGAGATGCTGCGGCAGCTCGGCAACGTCTTCATCGTCCAGCCCGACATCTTGCGCTCGTACCTCACCGAGGCCTACCTCGCCCGCATCGAGAACCGCCTCCTGCGACCGTTCGTCATGATGCGCTCCGACTACGGCGACCACTCGCGCCGGTTCTGGGACGACGTCTTTGGGCCCGACGCGCCTGCACTCGGCGCCGGCGCCGGCGCCGGTGATGCCGCGGGCCCGTCCGCCGGCGAGCGCGTCGGCGGCGCCGTCTCGGCGCTCGGTGCGCGCATCCCGGGCCTGTCGGCGCTCGGGCAGAAGGGCGCGTTCGTCATGGGCGGCGGCGGACCGGGCGGCGCGGCGGGTCCGAGCGGGAGCGCCGTCGGCGGCGGGCCGGGCTTCATCGCCCAGTCGTTCGGCGCGGGCGCAGCTCGTTCGGCAGCCGCTCCTCCACCACCTCCCCCTCCTGCCTCTGCCTCGACGCAGGCCGCACCACCACCGCTGCCGCCTCGGAGCGATGGCCCGCCGCATCACGACCCGCACCACCCACCTGTTCCTCCTCCTCGACCCTCGAGCGCCGCCAGCACGCGCTCGAACTCGTCGGTACAGCAGCAGGGACAGGGCTCGGTGACGGGCGGGGCCAAGACTCGGCTGTGGGGGACGCTCATGCGCGACTTTGAGGGCCTCGGGCTGCGGGACGACGGCGGGGCAGGGAGCGCCGGCGAGGGGAGCGCGGGCAAGAGGAGGAGCGGCGGGTTCGGTGCGAGGGATTGAGCGTGTGCGTGAGCTGCTCGAGCATGCAGTGCGAGTGTTGTACTCGGTCGCGTCGTCTCGCCTGAGAGGGAGACTGCTCTCGACGATATCTTTCTTTGACTCTCTTTTTCAGCGCTGCGAGCGAACCGCTGTCGAGTGCATCGAGATCGTCTCTACAGGCTGAGCGACCCATCCATGACCGTCACGGCGCAGCCTCGAAGCTTGACCCGCCCTCGCTCCTCATCCCACACGACCTCGAGCTCTCCCTGCCTGCTGCCGCCCTGCCTCGCCGAGAATGAGGAAGCGCCTCGATGCGTCGACGACTCGATGCTCTTGAAGCCTGGCGAGGTTGGCGAGAGGTAGTACGGCGCAAGGATGCAGTGCGCCGAGCCGGTCTGCGACGAGGGAGAATGGTCAGTCGGCTGGCCCAGAAGAGACTCGAGGAGCGAGGGGCGCACAACTGGATCCTCGGGAATGTCTTCTGCGCCGTCGAACACCCGAGAGTAGACGGCGTGTTGCGGAAAGTGCACGTGCGCCGCTTGGGTGAAGACGAAGTACCGGCTCGACGCGGCCTGCGGACGACGGGGCCGGTCAGTCGAGGTTCGAGATACGCTCGAGGAAGAGAAAAGGGACGCACGAGTGGCTTGGCGTCAATGTCGGCGTGCTGAAGGTCGAAAGAGGCGTCCAGCTCGACGACGCCGCCCAGTCGGCCGACGGCGATAGCGACGACGTGCTGCGACAGCTCGGCGTGGGCCTGCTCGACGAGGCTCGCGACCTTGTCGGCCTCGTTCTCGTTGCGCTCGAGGACGTCCTGGTCGGCCGGAAAGTCGAGCTCGATGCGGCCGTCCTCAAGTCGCGCGGCGAAAAGCGTGCCCGACATGGTCTCGAAGCGCAGGCGCCTCGCATCAAGGTGCCGCGTCGAGAAGAGCGCATGTGCCGAAGCGAGCGTGGCGTGCCCGCAGAGAGGGAACTCGACCGACGGCGTGAACCACCGCAGCGAGTAGCTCGGGTCCGGTTGCCCGCCCTCGCCCGCCGCGAACTCGCGCTCGACGTCCTTGAGCGGCAGCAGGAAGGCCGTCTCGGACAGGTTGAACTCGCGTGCGACCTTGAGCAGGAGCTGCGAGTCTTGCGCGCGCGCGTCGTCGGCGGCGAAGTGAACAACGGCGGCCGGATTGCCGGCGAAGCGCTCGCGCGTGAAGGCGTCGATGAGGTGGTACGGGACGGCAGACATAGGTGCCTAGAGGACCGTGGTGATGTCGGCGAGTCGCTCAGGCGCTTGAGGCGGCGAGGAGAGGCAGGAGAGGGGAAACGAGCTGATGAAGTCGAGGTGGCGCGAGGCTTGACTCTCTCGCTTGCAGTCGGCCGAGGCGGGCGCTCTAGCAGACCTGCAGGCTCTCGAGGGCGACCCGAGCTCTCTATCGCGGCCGAGAGAGAGAGAGGGAGAGCACGAGAGCCTCTCACTCGACGAACCTCTCGAGGGAAAGACGGTCGCGGCGACCGAGAGCGATGCAGATCTCGACGATGCAGGGCGAACGGAATAGACACAAGACAGAACGCGAGGGTGCGACTATGGGCGGCGAAAAGATGGCTCGGAAAGGACGACGGCACGAGGAGGGAAAGGCGAAGTGGGGAAGGAGGAGCGGGAGCGAGGGAGGGATGCAGATGAGGGTATGACAGCGGGCAAATAGGCGGCAAAGAGAGACGACGGGATGGGGCATGTGAGGGCGAATGCTTGGGGGCGTGACGAGACAAATCCTGGAGGGCACACGAGAGGGCGAAGGTCGAAGGAGGGGAAAGGGAAGGGCAAATCGAGGGCGGACCGCCTCGCCGTAGTGCCGAGCACGCTCAGGCCTGCATCGGCGAGTGGCCGTAGTAGGCCTGCGGGAGGTGCGCGTACGGGTTGACGCCGACAGGCGCCCACACGGGGCTCGCCGGCATGTTCGGGTAGCCGCCGTACGCGGGGCTCGTCGCGCCGCTGCGGTCGCCGCCGAGGCCGTGCGCGTTGGCGCCGCCGCCGCCACGCCCACCGCGGCCGCGCTCACGACGGCGTCGGCGCGAGCCCTCCTCGCCGGTGGTGCCGCCGACCGAGCCGGGCGTGCGCGCGCCGGTCGTGCCCTTGGCGCAGCCGAGCAGGACGCCGCCGCCGAGGACCTTGACGAGGCCGTTCGAGTACTCGGTCGCGGTCTGGGCCGACGAGGACGTCTCGGTGCGGGTACGGCCCGATGGGGTCGTCGCCGGCGACGGGGCGAGCTCGGCGTTGCCGCCCTGCGACGGCGTCGACGGGACGGCGGTCGAGCCGAGCGACGTGATGGACGAGATCGACGAGTGGTGCGAGTGGCTCGACTCGGACCGGTGCGACTGGCCGCCTCGGACGCCGCGGCGCCGAGGCTTCGTCGGCGAGCCGGGGAGGGACCGGCCGCCAGCGGTCGACGACGACGACGGGCTCATGGTGGCCGACGAGGGCGACTGCGGCGGGGCGAGGGACGACATGGACGAGCCGCGCGAGTGCGCATGGGTGCGGGGGAGGGCAGGGATGCGGAAGCCGTCGGCGTCGACGAGGTCGCGCGACTTGGCGTCGAGGCCCTTCCACATGGCCTGCTGTGCGGCGTGGATCGACGACGCGACCGACGCCGAGCTGTCGCCCGATGCCGAGAAGAGCGAGTCGGTGCACGACGTCTCGCCGTCGGACGAGTCGGCCGACAGGGACGAGATGGACGACGCGCGCGACGACGATCGGCGCGCCGTGGGGAGGCCGAGAGGCGACGACGGGCGGTAGGTCGACGGCGAGAGCGAGTGCGACTTGCTGCCCGTCGAGGTCGAGCTGCCGCTGCCCGGCGAGGGCGACCGCGGCGGGCCGAGGAGGCCGCCGGCCGGCGTCGGCGAGAAGACGTCGGCCTCGGCGGCGGGCAGAGGGCGAACAGGGGTGGGCGGGATGATGTGGGGCGATGCGAGAAGGGCGCCTTGCCGAGGACCGCCCGTGCGGAGCGGCGAGTCGGGCTGGAGGGCCGCGTTGGTCATCGCCTGCAGCGCACCTCGCCCGCTCGGCGGCGCCATGATCTGGATGGCCCTCGAGCGCTTGACCGGCGACGACGGCGCGGCGGCCTCGACGGGCGGCGCGAGCAGCTTGGCCGCAGCGCTCGCGGCTGCTGCTGCTGCTGCTGCGGCGGCGGCCGCCTCGACGGTCGCGAGCGGGACGGCGTAGTTGCGCAGCGCGTCGGGCAGCTTGCCGTAGATCTCGATGAACTGGCCGTCGCGGCCGACGCCGCCCTCGCCGCGCTCGACGCGGAGCGAGACGCAGCCCGGGTCGACCCAGAGCGTCCACCGGCTGCCGAGGTGCACCTTGTGGTCGGCGGCGGTGAGGGCGCGCTCGAGCTCGTCGACCGAGATGCCGGCGCCGGCGGCGGCGACCACGAGGGAGGCGTCGAGCGAGGCCGGGGTGCGGATGAGGGCGCGGAAGGCCGAGCCGCGCTCGGGGTCGGACGAGTGCCAGTGGCCGTCGTACCGTTGGGCGAGGACGGCGGCGAGCTTGGCAGAGAAGGTGCCGTTGCCCTGCTGGAGGTACGAGGCGAGGAAGGCCGACGCCGCGTCGAGTTCCGAGTCCATGTTCAGCGACCGGTCGACGCCCGACGAATCGTGGCGAGGCTTGGGAGGCGGTGGCGGCGAGGGCGAGAGAGGCGACAGGTGTAGGTGTACTGCGAGGCAAGGGAGAGTCAGGCTGGTGCCGGCGAGGTCAGGATCGGTCGGCGGGCTCACCTCGAGGCGGACAGCGAGGGCGAGAGGGCGAGACGAGGGGGAGGGCAGCCGAGGGCAGAGGGGGCGAGGACGACGCCGCAACGGACTGGTCGAGTGTGGAGGTGGGCACAGGCGGTCGAGACGGATCTCGGGGTGCCTTGTGCGACCTGGACTGCACCGCAAGAGCGAGGTGCGAGGCTGGCGAGAGTGAGGGGGGGGGAGCTGCCCTCGTCGAGGCGGCGAGCTCGCGAACGTTGAAGGATTTCGCTCTCGCTCTCTGCGGCCGTCGTGTCTTGCTGGATGGTACAATCGAGTCTCTACACTGGACTACAGCCCGCTGGAGTACCAGCAGAGTGAGCGAGAGGAGACGACAGCGACGTTGTCTCGCTCGTCGCTTGTTTCGCTCTCTCTCTCTCCTTCACGCGCTCTCTGTGCCGCGCAGCTTGGCTCTAAGCGACAGCTCGCACTTCGAGCGCACCTATGCACGCACCACGCTTGCGCCAGCTCAGCGAGCGGCACACGTCGGACCCTTCTCGACCGAGGCCTCCTCGTCGAAATCGATGCTCCGCATCTCTCCAGAGCGCTCTCCGGACCCCGCTGCCCTTGTGCGCAACAGCGCTCACCGCGCCCGGGCCAGCTCGGGCAGTTGTGCGCTCCCGGCGGCACCCGCTGTCGCTCGACGAGCTCGTCGCTTCCGCCCTCGCCTCGCCTCGAGCTCGCCCAGCCCTCGCTCGCGCAGACGATGCCCGCTCCGACTGCGCTCCTGCGCCTCGCTACGCGCCGTGCCGCCTCGCCCGCGTTCGCCGCGCGGCCCGCCGCCGTCGGGCCGAGCGCACCGTCGCGCAGCTTCCAGTCGGCCGCGCACCAGGAGTCGCCCTCGCACAAGCTCCGCCTCCAGACCGAGGAGGGCCAGGCTGTCGCGCCAGAGCACGACCAGCTCCACGAGAACCAGGAGTACACCGAGCACGAGAAGAACCTGGTCCGTCGCCGTCGTCCTCTCCTCCCTCTCTCGCGCGAGCAGCGCCAAGTATAGCTCAAAGGCGCACGAGGGCTTCTGCGGCGGCGCAGAGGTGTCTGTCGGAGCTCGGAGGGTCACGTCGAGCGTGGAACGCGCAGCGAGGAGCCGTGTCTCGAGCACGAGAGCTGACCTTCTCCTCCTTCCACCTCCCGGCCGAAACGCTCTCCCTCCTCCTCACCTCGACCTACGCCCTCCCGTCCACTTTCTTCCGCCTCTCTACGACATCATTCAGCGTCCCATCTGGACGGCGCTTCGCGGACGCGCCCTCTTGAACGAGCCGACGCTCAACAAGGGCGCCGGGTTCACGTTCGAGGAGCGCACGTCGTTCGGGCTTTGCGGTCTCCTCCCGTGCGTCGAGTATCTCTCTCGTATCTCTCTGTACGCCGTGCGAGCGGCTGGGACTGGACGAGCTCACGCCATTCGGCGTCTACAGGTACGAGGTCCACTCGCTCGAGCAGCAGTGCAAGCGCGCCTGGGCACAGCTGCAGGAGCGCCCGAACCCGCTCGCCAAGTACACTTGTGCGTCGATGCGACACCCTGTCTCGCCTCCTGACAGGAAAACTGACCGTCGCCCGAGCGCACAGTCCTCTCGTCCCTGCGCGACCAAAACATCGTCCTCTTCTACTCTCTCTGCCTGCGGCATCTCAACGAGCGTGCGTCTCTGCTCTCTTTCTCTCCCTCGTAGTCCTGTCCTGACGTACCGCGAGCGACGCAGTCCTTCCCGTCATCTACACGTCCGTTCCTCTTCGTCAACTCGCGAACCTTCTCTCCTCGACTGGCCTCGTCCTGACGCTTCTCTGCTACAGTCCGACCGTCGGCGAGGCGATTCAGAAGTACTCGACTATCTGGCGTCGCCCTGATGGCCTGTTCCTGAGCTACAAGCACCGTCACCAGCTCAAGTGCGTCACGACGGTCGATTCTCCTTTTCTCGCAGCCGAGACTGACCCGTTTCTCCTCGAACACAGGGAGCTCATGCTCGCGGCAAAGCGGCCCAAGGATGTACGTCCTCTTCAACCCTCGATCCTGGCCGAGCGTGAACTGACCGTCGAACCTCACCTCGCAGGTCGACTTGATCGTCGTCACGGACTCGGAGGGCATTCTCGGTATCGGTGACCAGGGCGTCGGAGGCATCCTCATCTCGATGGGCAAGGCCAACATCTACACGCTCGGCGGCGGCATCGACCCATCCCGAATCCTCCCCGTCGTGCTCGACGTCGGTACCGACAACCCGGCCCTGCTCAACGACCCGCTCTACCTCGGCCTGCGCCGCAAGCGCATTCGCGGCGAGAAGTACGACCAGTTCGTCGACAAGTTCTGCGACATTGTGCGCGAGGCATACCCGCAGGCGATGCTGTGCGTCCCCTTTTCTCCCTCCGGCCTTGTTCTCCTGCCGGGCCCGACTGACTCTCTGTACCCTCTGCAGCCACTTCGAGGACTTTGCTGTGAGTCGACGTCCCTCTTGCGGCCTGTGTGGCGCTCGACGCGAGCGTCGAGAGCGTCGAGAGGCCGAGGAGGCCCGAGCGGCCGTGCGGACCGCTTTCAGCCGTCGAGGTTCGGCGATTGACGACCCTCTCTCTCCTCTACAGGTCGACAATGCGTCGAGGCTTCTGCAGAAGTTCCGCCCCAAGCAGTCGTGCTGTGAGTCTCGCTCTTCCTCCTCCTCGTCGCCACCTCGTTCTCCCTGTTGCACTTGTCGGACGCGGTCCCTGACCTCGACTTCCTCCCCTCGTCCAGTCAACGACGACTCGCAGGGCACCGCCGCAGTTGTGCTCGCGGCGCTCGTCTCGGCCGTCAAGGTCGCGAAGAGCGAGCTCAAGGACCAGCGCATCGCCATCCTCGGCCTCGGCACCGCCGGTCTCGGCATCGCCGACGGCCTGCGCACGGCGCTCATGACCGAGGAGGGCCTGTCGTCGGACGAGGTCCGCCAAATGTTCTACTGCGTCGACCGCCCGGGCCTCCTCACCTCGGCGCACTCGGAGCTCCTTCGCCCGGGCCAGGAGCACTTCATCCGCGACGCCGACGAGGTCTCGGCTTGGGCTCGTGACGAGAACGGTCGCATCGACCTCCTCGAGACGGTCAAGCAGGCCAAGCCGACCATCCTCATCGGCTGCTCGACCCAGTCGGGCGCGTTCACCGAGGAGGTCGTCAAGGAGATGGCGAGCCACGTCGACCGCCCGATCATCTTCCCGCTCTCGAACCCGACTCGTGCGTCCCCTCTCTCCATCTTATCGATGCTCAGGCGTCGGCTGACTCGTCTGAGCACTTGCAGGTCTCGCCGAGGCCGACCCGGCCGACATCAACAAGTGGACGCACGGCAAGGCCCTCATGGCTACCGGCTCGCCCTTCCCTGCCGTCCTCAAGCCGGACGGCAAGCTGCACAAGGTCGCCGAGGCTGTGCGTCCCTTTCTCCCTCTTTGGAGGTGCGCGCCGTCACTGACGCCGCCTCCCCCTCGCAGAACAACGCGTCCGTCCCTCCCCGCCGGTCTTCCCCACGCAGCCAGCCCCTGACGCCCCTCACCTTTCTGCAGCCTCATCTACCCTGGTTTCGGCCTCGGCGTCATCGCCGCACGCGCAACTCGTTTCACCGACAGCATGATCACCTCGGGCGTGAGCGCGCTCGCGCAGCTCTCCCCAGCACTCGAGGATCCCGCCGAGTCGCTCTTGCCCGCACTACACGACCTTCGTCACGTCTCGGTCAAGGTCGCGGTCGCAGTCGCCAATGCCGCTCGGGCAGAGGGCGTCAGCCAGATCCAGCGCGACGACCCCTTTACCGAGGAGGAGGTTCGCCGCATGCAGTGGGACCCTGGTGCGTCCGCCTCTCCCTCCCCTCCCTCGCCCCTCGTCGCAGACAACTGACAACGAGCATCCGCACGCAGTGTACCGTCCCCTCGAGCTCGTGGACGTCTGAGAGCTCCCCCTCGCCTTCTTCCTTTCTCTCTCTCTTTGTCTCGCTCCCTCTCCCGGCGCCTCGCAGCTAGATTCCCTCTCGGTACTCCATCATTGTCATACGCAGCAATAGATCATTCGTTCGGCACCATTATGGCCTCTCAGGTAGCGAGAGATGGCAAGAGGGCCGAGCGTCGACCTTCTCAAGTTGCCTCTCGAGAGCTGGCAGGCGAGAAGGGGCGAACGAGGGTGCAGTGCAAGGGTGCGGCTATGCAAAGGAGGGAGTGGGCATATCATCGAGAAGGAGAGACGAGAAGGAGAGAGTGTCTATGAAAGGTGGACGAGCGCGAGAGAGGGACCGGCCCTTCTCGAGCGTCGACGGCTACTTGAGCGTGCAGACGTGGACCATCCTGCCGTCCTCGTCGGTCTTGGTCCAGGTCGCGCCGACGCCGCGCTTCTTGCGCGCCGAGCGGTCCCTCGCCGCGCGGTCCTCGAGCTCGTGCCAGTGCCGCGTGAGGAAGTGGCGCATGCCCGGGACGCCCTTGACGACGTCCTGGTCGGTCCCGCCGTGCTTCTCCGAGAACGACGCGAGTATTTCGGGTGCCGAGCGACGGTCGAAAGGCTTGAAGGGCGTGTTGAGCGACGAGAAGACGAAGGACGAGGCGGTCGGCGGCGAGTGGGCGGCGATCTCTTGCAGCTCGGCGGCGACGAGCGCGCAGTACTTGTCCAGGTCGTGATCGCTGTCGTCGTAGCCGAACGGCTGTTGGAGTTGCTCGCCGAGCTCAAGGAAGCCGAGGAAGACGCAGGCCGCGACTGCGCGCAGGAACAGGAGGTCAATCGTCGAGCTCGCTCGAGGTCGGCGACGTGGACGCACCAAACATGGCCGGGATCGTGAGCCACTTGAGTGACGCGTAGATCTGGAACGGCAAGAGGACGAGGTACACGTATGCCGTTGCGCGAACTGCCGGCGAGAGAGAGAGTCAGAGGCTGTTCGGGTGGTGGCACGCGGTCGACTCGGCCCGACGGCGCCAGGGCTCCTCGTCAACGAAAGGGGGAGGGGACACACGGTGCACGATGTACGAGAAGGGCAGAGGCGTCGAGAGCACGCGCTCCATAGTGCCGAGTCTGTAACGCGCGAGGAGGGGAGGGGGTGGACGAGGAGAGTCAGTCTCGGCCAATGATGAGAGACGCGGCGTCGTTCGGGACGTACGAGTCGGCGAGAGAGTTGATCGAGGCGTAGTAGACGCTGACGAGCGGCGTAGGGATGGTGCCGCGCTGCATGAGCGTCGACAGATAGCCCGACAGGTGGAGGTGGATCTCGAGCGGGAGGTTCGTGCCGAATGACAGCTTGTGCTTCTTCTCGACCGGCTTGAACAGGCTGACGATCGGCCGGAACAGGAGAAAAGCCGGGGCGTAGTGGTACAGGCCGCGCGGCGGCGGGTTGTAGCCCGGCGCGAGCTTGATCTCGCGCGACGTCGAGTCGCCCTCCCTGGCGACCCTGCCGAGCTCGCCGATACCGTCGATACCGTCGACAGTGCCCTTCTCGAGGTCGAGGTGGCCGAGCTGCGACGTAGACGCGGAGCCGAAGCGGGGCGTGGCTGCGCCCGACGGCGACGACGACATGGACGAGGTCATCGAGGTCGGGATCACGTAGGTGCCGTCGGGAAGCGGCGACCGCCAGATGCCGGTGACGGTCTCGCGCGCGATGCCGTTCTGGTCGTCGATGCCGGACGGGAACGAGTACCTGAGCAAGGACGGTCAGGTCGAGCTCGCTCAAGGTTCGAGAGAGAGAGACTCGAGTCGACGCACTTGGGCAAAGGCTTGACGAGGTCGTACAGGTCGTCGTAGAACGCGCCGCTCTCGCCGCGAACGTGGTGCTTGGTCGCCGTCGCGAAGGCTTGAATAAGGTTGAGCATCGTGCGCTTCTCGATGAGCGACTTGAGGCGCTCGATCTCGTCCTCGTCGCTGCCAGTGACGATCTCGGCCTGCTCGGTAGGCGTAAGAGTCGTCGAGCCGACGTGGATCCAGATGAGCGAACCCAGGTTCCTCGAGGCGACCGACAGGGTCGACCACGCTTGGCGACCGGCGTTCCAGCGCTCAAGTGCGCTCGACGTGCGCAGCGAGACGACGAACGACAACATCGTCGTGAGGACCGAGAGCATGATCTGCAGGACGGGAGCGCATAGCGCAAGGTCAGGACCTGGACGAGGGAGGAGCTCGCGGCTCTGCGGCTCTGCGAGCACGAACGAGAGGAGCCTCGTGGGCGATGGACGCACCGTGTTGACCTTCATGGCGTAGCCCGACACCTCGCACCCGACCGTCACCGCGACGCCGCACAGGGTGAACAGGAAGACCGGTCCGGCGATCTCGGGCCACACCGTGTGGCCGACGCTGCGCGCGATGACGGACATGGCGCGTGCTGGTGCGTGCTCGGGAGGTTGTGCAGGATAGGCGGTGCTCTGGCGGAGGAAGGAGAGGTCGAGTGGGCGAGGTGCGTGTCGCTGAACTTGAGCTGCGAGCGACCAAGGGTGCGAGGTGAGAAGAGGCCGCGGAACTTGAACAGATGTGCGACCGCACGCACCTCGAGTAGCTGAGCCGAGCCAGTCGGACAGGTGCACTGCTGGAGCAAGAGGCGAGGAGCGAGAGCAAGTGCGCGCAAGCGCGTTTGCTGCTCGACGTGGCGCGCGGGCGATCGAGCCTGGACTCTTTCCCCGGTCCGCCGGCGAGCACAAAGCTCAAGGGGCGCGAGCAACGCGAAAGAGTCGACGAGCCAGCAGGTGCGAGGACGGCTCGTAGAAGAAGCGCGAGAAGCGCATGCGAGATCAAAAGCTGGGGACCCGCCGAGTCGACGTTCGAGGAGGAGGCGAAGAGGAGGCAGCGCGTGCAGCGCTCGCTTGGTCGGTTCCGAGCGCTCTAGCAGTGCTCACGCACGACGTCGATAGATTGCGAAACGGACGGGAACGGTCGACGACAAGCGAGAGCGAGAGGGAAGAAGAGATCGGCGGTTTGGGAAGGTCGAAACGAGGTCAAAGCGTCGGCGCTGTCGCCTCGCTCGCTCGCTCTCGACGGCTCACAAATGCAGGACATCGAGCCTGGGCACCAATGATGCTCAGGAAGGCGACTCTAAGGTTGCACTCGTCTAGTTCTGAAGCTCGCGATTCTACTGCTCAATCTCGTCTGCCGACCGACCGAGCACGAGTCTAGTTGCCGGCACCGGCGTACTTGTACCTGGAGACAGAGAAAGGCGAGAGGAAGGAGGAGGAAGAGGTTCGACCGTTAGATCGACGTCCTCGAACGCGGGAGAAAGGCGGACGCACTGCTCCTTGCGGTTGCCCGTGAAGCGCCACGAGACATTCTGGATGACGTCGTTCTTGCTCGACGTCTGCCACCCGAGAAGCTTGGTGAAGGAGTTGTAGACGACGTCGATGCTGGTCGGCGTGAGGACCCAGGCGTCGTCAAAGGCGTCGGCTGTGGCGCGAGGAGGAGGGTGAGCGCTTTGTCCGACGGCGGCCCCAAGCTGCGAGGCTCGGCGACGAAAGAGGGACGAGCGACTCACTGACGTAGAGGGTGAGCTGCTTGCCGGCCGGGGTCGTGACGACGGCCTCGAGGCCGCAGTACTTCTGCCTCGCGGCGGTCGCGTCCCAGTTGGCGTCCGACATCATCGTGTTGAGCGAGATAGCGAAGCCCGGCGTGTCGTCGTTGTAGGGGTAGTAGCACCAGGAGTGACCTGTCGCGTTCGAGTATGTCAGTCGGGCGAGGAACTGAGGGAGCGGAAAGAGGGACAGGAAGACGGACCGTTCGTGGAGTCGGCGCCCGAGTTCGTGCGGAACCAGGACGCGATCGCACCGGTGTTGGTGCCGAGGAACTTGTTGACGCCACTCGAGACGAGGACGTTGCTAGAAGAGGCGGCGAGCTGGTTGCCGGACGAGGTCGAGGCCTGCTTGGTCGACGACGACGACGAGGTCGAGCCGCTCTTGTACGCACTTGTGCTGCTGCGATCGA